TTTTGCCAGCACCATTTATTAAACAAACATTCTCTTCCCCATTTAATGGATTTTGCCCCTGTGTCAAAGATCAGCTGACCATAGATCAATGGATCTGTTTCTGGGTTCTTACTTCTATTCCATTGGTCTTTATGTCTGTCGTTATACCAATACCAGGCAGGTTTGACTACTGTGGCTGTATAGTAGGTTTGAGATCTGGCAGTGTGAGACCTCCTACTTTGTTCTTCTTCTTCAGTAATGCTTTGCTTCTCCAAGGTCTCTTCCCTTTCCATATAAAGTTAGTGATTGGTTTTTCTATATCCTTAAAAAATGTTGATGGGATCTGGACTGGGATTGCACTGAATGTATAGATTGCTTTAGGTAGAATTTACATTTTCACAGTGTTCAATCTTCCTATCCATGAGCATGGTATGTTCTTCCATAAGATCTCTTATGGTTTCTTGCAATAGTTTTTCATAGTTTTCTTTGTACAGGTCTTTTGTGTTCCCTGGTAAGATTTATTCCCAAGTATTTTATTTTTTTGGTAGCTATTGTGAATGGTGGGAGCTCTGGTAGATAGTGGCTAAGACACTTGCCTGCTATTCAGACTGCTGGCGGTTCAAACCCACCAGCCACTCCTCGGAAGGAAGGTTGGGCAATCCTACTTCCGTAGTGATACTGCCTCGGAAACCCAAGGAGGGGTCGCTATGAGTCGGGTTTGACTCGACAGCACATAACAACAACAACAACAACATTGTGAATGATATTGATTTCTTTCTTTCTTTTTCAGCAATCTCTTTGCTGGTGTAGAGGAATCCAACGGATTTTTGGATGTTGATCTTGTATACTGCCACAATGCTAAATCTCTCAATTAGTTCCAGTAGATTTTTGACTGAGTCTCCTGGGTTTTCTAGGTGTTGGATCATATCATCAGAAAATAAGCATAGTTTGACTTCTTCCTTACCAATTTGGATGCCTTTGATTTCCCTTTCTTGCCTTATGGCCCTGGCTAGGACTTCCATTACAATGTTGAATAGAAGTGGTGGTAGAGGGCATCCTTCTCTGGTTCCTGTTCTGAAGAGGAATGGTTTTAATCTCTCTCAATTGTGTATAATGTTGGCTGTTGGTTTTGCATAGATGCCCTTTATTATGTTGAGGAGTATCCCTTCTATTCCTTTGTTGCTGTGAGTTTTGATCAGGAATGGGATTTTATCAAATGCCTTTTCTGCATCAGTTGATATGATCGTGTGGCTCTTCTCCTTTGTTTTATTTATGTAGTGGATGACGTTAATTGTTTTTCTAATGTTGAACCATCCCTGCATACCTGATATGAACCCCAGTTGGTCATAATGAATGATTTTCTCGATATGTTGTTGGAATCTGTTGGCTAGGATTTTGTTGAAGATTTTTGCATCTATATTCATGAGGGATATTGGTCTGTAGTTTTCCTTTTGAGTGATATCTTTGCCTAGTTTTGGTATCAAGGTTATGCTTGCTTCATAAAATGAGTTAGGGAGGATTCTATCCTTTTCTATGTTTTAGAATAGTTTGAGTAGGAATGGTATCAGTTCTCTGAATGTTTGGTAAAATTCTCTGATAAAACCATCTGGGCCAGGATGGTTTTTTTGTTGGCTATTTTTTTATGACCTGTTCAATTTCTTCTTTTGTTATGGATCTATTCAAGTTTACCACATCAGTCTGTGTTAGTTTAGGTAAGTGGTATGTTTCTAGAAATCTGTCCATTGAAAAAATACAGAACACTTCATGAATTTGCATGTCATCCTTGCACAGGAGCCATGTTAAACTTCTCTGTATCATTCCAGTTTTAGCATATGTGTTGCAGAAGCAAGCACTCCAGTGTATAAATTTTTATTATGCTTTTGCTAATATGACTTGCTAATGTCCTCTCACTTGAAGAAAATCATAAATGACGTGGCCAAGTGCAAAGTCAGTGTGGAAGGACATTGCAAGATAACGTGAGTACAAAGAGGTGCATTTCATCAGGGCATTACACTTAAATATTCTTTATATTATAAAACACCTATATGGAAGCATCACTCTCATAAAACCACTGATTTTTTTAAGGAATAACATTAGTTTTTATCTATTCTTTCATTCTTTTTTGCTTCTTTATGTAAATATATTCTTTGGATTCTGCAAATTTAGACTTCTTAAAGTAATGTTGAGTTCAATTACTTTGCTCTTCACCGAATAATATAGAATAGAATATTTGAGGCTTGTGTGTCTACTGTCTTAGATTATAAAGAATTTATAAAAGCAGTGACACTTGATGACATTTGTGACATCTTTTTCTAACTGGTTTTTTCAGATATTTGTTTTTTCTTTCTAGCCAAAAAAGGAAGAAAAAAGTATGGAGGTTAATATGAAAGAATGGATTTTGAGATATGCTGAACAACAAAATGAAGAAGAAAAGGGTGAGAATTCTAAAAGATTAGAAGAGGAAGAAAAATTTGACCCTGTGAGTAGAAATTTGGATTAGGCTCGGGCTGGATATTCCTAGGCAATCCATTTAACTTTTCTGAAATGTAGTTTCCTAATATAAATTGCCTCGGAAGGAAGGTTGGGCAATCCTACTTCCGTAGTGATACTGCCTCGGAAACCCAAGGAGGGGTCGCTATGAGTCGGGGCCGACTCGACAGCACACAACAACAACAACAATATAAATTGCAGAAATACTTAATCACTAGAGATTGATGTGAAAATCAAACAAGATAACACTTAGGAAAGAACTTGGCACAGTATAACTTCTGAATAGATGTTACATTTCTCCCATATTTAAAGTGGTGGTCATTAAATATTTATTGCATAATTGTTATATATGAGGAGTATGCTAACTTTTTTTGTAATAAAAAAGAAGTACACATATTCTTTTATATAGAAGGTCCATAATGTAGAGAAAGAAAACATGATAAACTAAAAGTATATAGTAGAAAATATACTATTAACTGAAAAAAGCAAATTACAGGAGAAAAATATTTTAAATACATATATTTGACAAAGGACTTCTGTCTAGAATTATATGAAGAACTTTTAAAAAGACAATAGACACTTTACAAAAGTAAATATATGAATGGCCAATAAACATATTAAAAATGTGTTTAATATCATTAATCATCAGAGAAATGAGATACTACTATATATCTATCAAAATGGCTAAAATTAAAAAGATCAGTAATACCATGTGCTGGGGAAGTTGTGAACTGGAACACTCATACATTGTTTGGGGGAAATGGTACAATCACTTAGGAAAATTGGCATTTTTCCCATAAAGCTAAACATACATTTGCCAAGTGACCCAATGATTGCATTTAGGTATTCAACAACATGAGAACACAAGTCCACAAAGATCTGTATACAAATGTTCATGGCATATTTATCCATAATACACAAATACTGCAAACAACCCATATGTCTGTCAGCAGGTGGATGGATAAACAAATTGTGATATAATTTCATTGCATATATCTACAATGGAATACTACTCAACAATAAGAAGGAACCAACTACTGATGCATAGAACAAGATGGAAAAATCTCAAAATTATTATGCAACAGTAAAGCCAGACACAAATGAGTACATACCGAATGATTTCATTAATTCTAGAAAAATGATCTATGTACAACCAATCTGTAGTGACTGAAAGCAGATCAGGGTTGTCTGAGTCTCAGAGTAGGGGTAAGAGATTGACTATAAAGGGTTATAAGGGAACTTTTTGGACTGGTGAAAATGTCCTATATTTTTATTGTGATACACCCATGGGTACATTTTATTGTGAGTAAATCATATGTCAGTGAAGCAATAAATGAGGGTCATCCTCATCCTCAACATGACCTGTTGTTTTCCATTTTTTAAATTATAGCCATCCTAGTGGGTGTGATGTGGTACCTTGTTATGGTTTTGAATTGTATTTCCCTAATGACAAGTGCCTAAGTCAATGAGTGCTAACCAGAATGCTGGTGGTTCAAACCCATCAGCCACTCCTCAGAAGGAAGATTGGGCAACCTTCTTGTAGTGATTATGCCTCAGAAGCCCAAGGAAGGGTCGTTATGAGTCGAATCTGACTCGACGGCGTGAGTTTGGGTTTTTTGGAATGACAAATGCTCTTTAGAAGGAAAGATGCTGAGATTTCATCTCCCTTACTTTGGACATATTATCAGGAGGGACCAGTCCCGGGAGAAGGATATCTTACTTAGTAAAAAAGAGAGTTGGTAAAAAAGAAGAAGACCTTCAACAATATAAATTGACGTAGTGGCTACATTAGTAGGCTGAAATATAGCGATGATTGTGAGGATGGCACAGGACTGAGCAGTTTCATTCTGTGGGTCACTGTGAGTCAGAAGCAACTCAACAGCACCTAAGAACAACAATGACAAATGACAATGAGCATCTTTTCATGTGCTTGTTGGCTCTTTGTAGTTCTTTGGAGAAATACCTATTCATGTCCTTGGCACATTTTTTGAGGGGAGTTGTTTTTTTGTTGTTGTTGTTGTTAAGTTACAGTAGTAGTTTATGTATTCTGGATATTAAATTCTTATCCAATATATGATTCCTCAAAATTTTCTCCAAATCTGGAAGTTGTCTCTTTACTTTCTTGATGAAGTCCTTTGATAAACAAAAATTTTTAAATTTGATGAGGTTCCATTTACTTATTTTGTCTTTTGTTGATTATGCTTTTGGTGTCACATCTATAAATCTGTTGTTAAAAACTAGTTCCTAAAACATTACTAACAATTTTATATTTTCAGTTCCTACATTTAGGTCTTCAATCCATTTTGTGTTAGTTTTCTTATATGGTGTGAGGTATAAGGCCAGGTGCAAATTATTTGGTTTTGGATATCCACTTGTCCTAGCACCATTTATTAAAGAGACTTCTCTCCCCACTAGACAGGCTTAGCATCTTTGTCCGAAACAATTGATCATAGATGTACAAATGGATCAAAGGTTTGGATACAATATACTGACCACTGATAAACTAATGTTTCTTTTCTCTTGATTTCCTCTTCATCTTGTTATTTGGAATAGAATGAAAGGTACTTGCATCTTGCAGCAAAACTTCTCGATGCAAAGGACCAAGCAGCTGCTTTTAAATTAGAAAAAAACAAGCCAGGCCAAAAAGAGGCTCAAGAAAAAATAAGAAAATTTCAAAGAGGTAAACACTTTCAGATTTGTAGATGTGTAAATGTAATTCTCCTTTCCTGGTTTGCCTTCATGGGGTGGAGTTTGACTCCTTTTTTATCTATCATCTATGAAAAGAGTTATTAGTTCTCTAGCCACACTTAATAGGCAGTGGGCTGGGTTTGGCCTACAGACTACAGTTTGTCAAACCTTGATTTATTTACCCTAAATACCATCTGCATTCAAGAGGTGGCTACAATTCTATGAGTATTTATTTCTAATGAAGATGTTTTTCCAGGCCTACTACTTCTGTTATTAGAAAAAATTTAGCATATATTGTGAAAGTTAATAATTGCCTTTGACTTCTACCACAAATTCCTAGTAGGAGTTGTTAAATAACTGGCTACAAAGAAAAAGAAGAAATGCTAAATGATTTGTTTTTGGTTTTTTTAAACCATCTTTTCAAAGTAAAAAGGCATCAAAAACAAATCCATAAGCATTGTATGTTTCTCTTGGTAGAAATGGAAACTTTAGAAGACCATCCAGTATTCAATCCAGCCATAAAGATTTCACATCAGCACAATGAAAAGAAAAAACCTCTTTTGGCTTCAGAAGGAGGAAGTGCATTGAACTTTAACTTATTTGAAAAATCTGCAGCTGCTCCTGAAGAAGAGAAAGGTAAAATGAAAGGAAATTGGATCGAGGTGTAATTTGTACATTTTATATATGTTATTGTTGTTGTTAGGTGCTGTCGAGTTGTCTTGGACTCCTAGCAACCCTATGCACAGCAGAACAAAACACTGCCTGGTCCCATGCCAACTCCTCGATCCCTGCTATATTTGAGCCCATCACGGCAACCACTGTGTCAATCTATCTCATTGAGGGCCTTCCCCTCCTTCATCGACCCTCCACCTTACCAAGCATGACATCCTTCTCCCGGGAATGGTCCCTTCTGATAACATGGCCAAAATAGGTGAGACGAAGTCTGGCCATTCTCGCTTCCAAGGAGCATTCTGGCTACACTTCCTCCAGGACAAATCTGTTAGCTCTTTTAGCAGTCCATGGTACTTTCAACTTTCAGCATTCTTCTCCAGCACCACATCTCAAAAGGATCAATTCTTCTTCATTCTTCATTATTCATTGTCCAGCTCACATGCATATGAGGTAATTAAAAATATCATGGCTTGTGTCAGGCACACCTTAGTCCTCAAGGAGACATCTTTGCTCCTCAGCACTTGAAAGAGGTCCTTTGCAGCCAACTTGCCCAGTGCTATATCTCATCTGATGTTCTGACTGCTGCCTCCATTGGCATTGATTGTAGAACTAAGCAATGTGAAGTCTGACAACTTTCATCTTTTCTCTATTCGTCATGATGCTCCTTACAGGTCTAGGTGTGAGAATTTTTGTTTTCTTTATATTGAGATGTAATCCATACTGCAGACTGTGTTCTTCAATCCTCATCAGTAAGTGCCTCAAGTCATTCTCACTTTCAGCAAGCAAAGTTGTATCATCAGCGTATTGCAGGTTGTTAATGAGTCTCCCTCCAGTTTTGATGCCACATTCTTCTTCATATAGTCCAGCTTCTTGGATTATTTGCTCAGCATATAGATTGAGTAAGTACAGTGAAAAGATACAACCCTGACACACTCTCTTGTTGATTTTAAACCATGCAGTGTCCCCTTGTTCTGTTCTAATGACAGCCTCCTGGTCTATGTACAGGTTCCTCATGAGTATAATCAAGTGTTCTGAAATTCCCATTCTTCTCAATGTTGTCCACAAGTTGTTATGATCCATGCAATCAAATGCCTTTGCATAGTCAATGAAACACAAGTAAACATCTCTCTGGTATTCTTTGCTTTGAGCCAAGATCCCATCGGACAGCAGCTATGATATCCCTTGTTCCACGTCCTCTTCTGAATCCAGCCTGCAACTCTGGAAGCTCTCTGTCAATATATTGCTGCAACCATTTTTGAATTATCTTCAGTAAGATTTTACTTGTATGCGATATTAATGATATTGTTCAACAATTTTCACATTCTGTGGGATCACCCCT